CTGGACTTTATTGTCACCAATTTGTCTACAAAGCTTGACCACAACCCTGGGGAAGATCTTGCAGTTCATTTGACACCAATCTTGTCTGCACATGGTGTACACGGCCGTGCAAGACTTACCCACGGAATACAGATGCATTTGAGGCCAGGGAGGCAGCCTACCCTCTGCCTACTGTTGGAGCTTGTTGTATCTGAACCCTGTTCCTCCCCCCTCTGGACCGGTGGGGGTTATCCTGGTCCCCACTGGAGGTTTTGCACGGACACCTGGCCAAGACCGAAGTCTTTGGAGAGCTGAGGCCTAGCATCCAAAATGGCTGCTTTGCTGGGGCCTACAGTCAGAGACACCTCCCTGCAGTTGTCCACGCTTATGGAGCCATTGCTGTGCGTCAAACTTGTCTGGTTACAAATACGTGTCTGTTAGTCCACCCATAGGCGTGCACAGCCTATTGCATTAGGGTGTGCACCCTAAAGCACAAACACACGCCGCATGTGTGTGTGTGTATATATATATATACACACACACACACACATACACTGCTGTGTGTGATGTTAGTGTGCTGTGTTAGTGTGCTGTTAGTGTGATGTGTGTGTGAGGGTGCTGTTAGTGTGATGTGAGGGTGTTTGTGTGTGTGTGTTTGTGACTGTGCTGTTTGTGTGTGAGGGTGTTTGTGTGTTTGTCCTGTGAGGGTGCTGTTTGTGTGAGTGTCGTGTATTTGTGAGGGTGCTGTTTGTGTGTGTGTGTTTGTGAGGGTGCTGTTAGTGTGCTGTGTGTGAGGGTGTTGCGTTTTTTTTAAAGGTGCTGTGTGTGTTTGTGAGGGTGTGGTTAGTGTGCTGTGTGTGTGTGAGCTGTATGTGTGTAGGTGCTGTATGTGTGTGTGTGTGTGCTGTATGTTTGGAGGGATTGTGTGTGCTGTATGTTTGGGTGACTGATGGGGGCGATGTAATACCCCTTGGTGACCGATGGGGGCTGTGTAATACCGCTCTGTGACCGATGGGGGCGGTGTAATACCCTTAGGTGACCGATGGGGGCGGTGTAATACCCCTGGGTCACCGATGAGGGCGGTGTAATACCCCTGGGTCACCGATGAGGGCGGTGTAATACCGCTGGGTGACCGATGGGGGCGGTGTAATACCGCTGGGTGACAGATGGGGGCGGTGTAATACCACTGGGTGACCGATGGGGCGGTGTAATACCCCTGGGTGACCGATGGGGGCGGTGTAATATGCTGGGTGATCGATGGGGGCGGTGTAATACGCTGGGTGACCGATGGGGGCGGAGTAATACCGCTGGGTGACCTATGGGGGCGGTGTAATACCGCTAGGTGACAGATTTGGGCGGTGTAATACCCCTGGGTGAACGATGGGGGCGGTGTAATACCGCTGGGTGACAGATGGGGGCGGTGTAATACCGCTGGGTGACAGATGGGGGCGGTGTAATACGCTGGGTGGCAGATGGAGGCGGTGTAATACCGCCGGGTGACGGATAGGGGCGGTGTAATACCGCTGGGTGACGGATGGGGGCGGTGTAATACCGCTGGGTGGCCGATGGGGGCGGTGTAATACCGCTGGGTGACAGATGGGGGCGGTGTAATACCGCTGGGTGACCTATGGGGGCGGTGTAATACGCTGGGTGGCCGATGGGGGCGGTGTAATACCGCTGGGTGACAGATGGGGGCGGTGTAATACCGCTGGGTGGCCGATGGGGGCGGTGTAATACCGCTGGGTGACAGATGGGGGCGGTGTAATACCGCTGGGTGGCCGATGGGGGCGGTGTAATACGCTGGGTGGCCGATGGGGGCGGTGTAATACCGCTGGGTGGCCGATGGGGGCGGTGTAATACGCTGGGTGGCCGATGGGGGCGGTGTAATACGCTGGGTGGCCGATGGGGGCGGTGTAATACCGCTGGGTGACCGATGGGGGCGGTGTAATACCCCTGGGTGGCCGATGGGGGCGGTGTTCTGCACACCCAGTATGAGCAGCTCTGCTCATGGCTCTCTCTGCTTCCATAGAGTGGTGGCGTCATTTCCGGTGACCCGGAAGTAGTGCGCGCGTTGCGCTCTGTGGTGGCTTGTGATTGGTCGGAGGTCACAGCGGCAGCCAATCAGGGACGGTTTCGGGGGAGCGCTGAGTGCTGATGTGTGATCCCGGCTCGCCGTCTCCCAGTCTGTCACAGCGCACGGCCGCAGCATGCCTTATCACCGCACCTGGGAGGAGTTCGCCCGGGCCGCAGAGAAACTCTACCAGGCCGACCCCATGAAGGTGAGGGAGAGACAGGCCGGAACTACAACTCCCATCATACCCTGCGACCTGGG